AAATGCATTGAAATCGCACATTTTCACCATTCCGGACCCAGATCTCAGTTATGCATGGACGGATTTCATTCAAATTTGGTACATACATTAAACATAATAGGACCTTGATTTTTTTTTTCAGATCAAGTTCGAAATGGCCGACTGGCGGCCATTTTGTTTTAAAGAATTCAGTTCTGGATCCGTATCCGAGACATGTCTGGATTGATCAAGTTCAAACTTCACACACACAAGGTACATCATGTCACAAATATGTATGTGCATTTGTTTCATGATCCCATTAACGATAGCCAAATGGCGGCCGCTTTAAGGCCGAAAATGCATTGAAATCGCACATTTTCACCATTCCGAACCCGGATCTCAGTTATGCATGGACGGATTTTGTTCAAATTCGGTACTTACATTAAACATAATAGGACCTTGATGCACGTCATTTTTTTTTCGGATCAAGTTCGAAATGGCCGACTGGTGGCCATTTTCTTAAAGAATTCAGTTCTGGATCCGTATCCAAGACATGTCTGGATTGATCAAGTTCAAACTTCACACACACATGGTGCATCATGTCACAAATAGATATGTGCATTTGTTTCATGATCCGCTTAGCAATAGCTGAATGATGGCCATTTTAAGGCCGAAAATGCATTAAAATCACGTATTTTCACAATTCCAGAACCGGATCTCAGTCATGCATGCATGGATTTTGTTCAGATTTATTACAATGTGTTGTACATATGCAGGTGCATTTCGGTCATGATCTGCTTTGAATGTATATGTCACTCAAAGATGAACGGAACGGGGACGTGTCATTGACAATGACTTGTTAAATATTGGCACAGATTGTCATTGTTAACTGAAAATCATATTCTAAAAAGTGCACTTAAAGAAACAGTGTCCTCAAACTCAAGCTGGATAAAACATGTTAAAACAATTCTTGGACATGCTGACTTATCTGAAGTAAATAAAATATATAAATATATAAAATATATAAAGAAAAATAAAAAAATAAATATATACAAACATGGTATCAGCAACTTAGTTATGTCCTAAAAAAACGGAAAATCAGGAAACAAACTAAGAACGTATAATTTGTTTAAAATGGAATATGAATTTGAAGGATATTTAACAGAAATTCAGGACTTCAATTTGAGAAGAATGGTTACCAAGTTTAGACTTAGTGACCATAATTTGGAAATGAATTGGGCAGGAGAAAATTTCCAAGAATTGAGGCAAACTACAGATTGTGTAAAAAATGCAACACAGGTACTGTAGAAGATGAAAAACATTTCATCCTTGACTGTTGCTTCTTCACCCAAGAAAGAAATACCCTCTTAGAAGACTGTAAATTAAAAATGTGCAGTACAACTAACCGAAATTTAATATTCACTTGCATTATAAATAGTAGTACTGCACTTGCAAAATACTTAAAAAACACAATTGTAATACGTATTTTATATATGCCCTTTAGTTTTTTTTGTTTGTAATTTTGAAACTTTTGTTGTTTTTTGTTTATTTGTGTTTGTTTTTTCTGATATGTATCCTTACCATACAGCACCCACCGATGGTGCAGTTGTGTAATAAATTTATTGTGTTCGACAGGGAGGGCGCATGATGATCAACAGCGCCACCTATGCCACTATAATAGAGAGCCGTCTACACTTATGTCATACTATATTACTACAGTTTTCTTTTTGAGTCATTTTTGGGAGATTTAATTTTTTTTTTTTTTGTATTTGTATTCTGAATAAGCCATATTTTAGGGCGAAACGTTGACGTCATTGAAGACACCAAGCGAGCAGTCGGTGTTGTTGTTGTGCATCATTTCTGTTCATTATTTTTAAGAGTTTACCAACGGGTATGGGAACACTTACCGGATTAAACTGTGTTGTTTTCAGTACCAGAAATAATTCGCTGTAATCCGCAAGCGTTGTTTAACTATGTTACTCAACAAATTTGGGGAGTTTCACTAGTTTCTCACAGTATCTTTGATTTGTTTTAAAAAGTAAGTAGAAATTTGCTTCCACACACACAACCTGTTTGGGGTCTGGGTTCTAGTAAACAGCCTCAGTCCTACTAGCGGGTCTCAGACGTTTACTAAAACCCCACAACCTCAAACAGACAATTAATTACTGTGTCCTAGTTGC